ATTAATTTCCTATCATATAATTTTGTAAAATCACTCTGATTTCTTGCCTTTATTATATTATGCTTAAAGGGATAGCTACCAGTATAAACTAATCTAAAAATCTATCATAAAAATCTTTTTGCTGTAAAATATATATATGAGGTAAATAATATGAAAGATAATAAATTAAAACTCAGAGCAAATACTCTAAAAAATAAAATAGTGAAAGGAGGAAAGGAATAATGACAACAGAAGAACAACATTTGGAAGAATACCGTAAATTGCCAGTAGCGATAACAACGGAAGTAGAATCTTATGCAGGATGGCTAATGGATGCTGAGAGTTATAAGGAGCCGTGACAAAGAAATCAAGAAATATTAAAAGAGTTTAGAAAGTATGCTGTAAAAAGATGAAAAGACGAAAACTTTCAACCAGAATTACAAAAATTACAAAGCATGCTTGCATCTCCTTACGCACGAGATTATTTAACAAATCACTTTCCAATAAGAATGAATGGATGGAAGAATCAAAGAACATTACCACAGGCACTTCCTAATGAACACTGAATTTGGAGAATGAGAAACATTGAACCATTTTACCAAGAAATAATAAATGAAAAACAAAATAGTGCAAGCAATACTCAGTCACTACAAAGAGAAATTGAAAACCTAAAACAACAACTCCGAGTTCACCAAAATTGTGCAGCAGAGAAGCAACAACTCCAAAATCAGGTTAATAATGTCAATAACCAATTAAAAACCGAGCATGCTAATTGTCAAAAAGATAAAGAGCAATTAGCCCAACAAATCAAAGACCACCAAACTTCCCAAGTTGAAAAGGAAAAACTCAATCAACAAATCACTCAACTCCAGCAAGATAAACAAGATTTACAACAGCAACTTGTTGAAGCCATGGCAGAACTTACTGGTGCTCATCAATTAGAAGGAGAACTGGAAGCTAAGATAGTCCAAACATCACCATTCACTGAAGGGGGAAATAAATAAAATTGCTTCTTATAAGTCTCGCGACCAAAACTACCAACGACATTGATCCTTTTAAGCATTGTTGGGGGTGGAAAATGAAGCCGGAGGAGTGCTTTTTACTTTGAAAAGCTATCTAAATGCTTGAGAAAACCCACCTAAGCCAACTTTGACCGAAAAAGAACAAAAACAATTGGATAATTACGAAAATTTGGAAAAAGAAAGAAAAACAGAAACAAGAAGAAAAGCAAGACGAACAACAACAACAACAAGACCCAGAATATTCAGGAGAACAAGAAAAGTAAAAATAATAAATATGGTTAATTTAGAAAAATGAGAAAAAGGCACTTATTATAGTTGCCAACATCAACAAAAAAGTAAGAATAGTTGTGATGCTTGTGAACAGCAGAGAGAGAGAGAGAGAGAGAGAGAGAGAGAGAGAGAGAGAGAGAGAGAGAGAGAGCAAATCAATTAACATTAAACCAGGCTTAGGCAACAACATTCTCTCTAGCGGTTGTGAGATTTGTCATGCTGCACTTTTTGAAATGGCAAGTTCGTCGTGAGCTGATGATAAAGAAAAAAAGTATACAATTCATTTAGATTGCTACCGAGATAGCCAAAGGTCAGAAAAAACCTGCCGTT